GGGGGGGGGGGGGGGGGGGGTGGCTTACTTACTTATTTATGAGTTACTTTTAATGTGTCCATAGAACGCGCTCATTGTTACAGAGATTGCGCACGGAAAAGCTCTCCATTTGGCAATCCCCCCTCCCCGAGAAAATCCAATTTGAAATGGTTTTACACATACTTAAGATAAAAAGGGAGTGAATTTTTGGTGTATTCCAGGCAACACTTGATTGATGCCCATGCGAAATTTGTCGCTAAAGCATTTCTGTACCCGGATCTATCAAGTTCGATTCATTTCTGGTTAATGGCTTGTGTGGAATATGGTACCCCACCGAATGATCCGATGATCAGCCAGATCTGCTCCACCGCCACCACTACGGCACCATCGGCGGCGACGGATGGCGTTGACGGACTCTGTGCGGCTACGGTAGGTTCAATGGTTCCAGTGATTTTTTTTTCGTTTTTTACTAGTAATCATTTAGTTGGATTTAGAAATCTTTGCGGTTACTTGTGTAAATCTTTTTTTTGTTTTTGTTAATCCCTTTCTGACATTTCGCAGTAGCTCAGCTGCACTCTTAGTGTTCATTGAATGTACGTGCATTCGTTTATGTGTACGAGTTACTGGTTAAACAATGCTTCCTGGCTATGTCCTCTTCTCTGAGCTATTCTTTCTCAATGGCCGTTCTTTCTTTTGAATCCATCACAATCTCTTTACCTTCCTTTTCAGGCAGGTTTTCCTACCTGGCGTCTTCTTTTATGAAAAGTTTTAAGGCTGGATTGTGATCATTCTTAAAATGGTCTCTTATTAGCCTGTAGAACAGATTGGGAGCTCTTCTAATGATTATGAAGGGAGCAGTAGTTTGCTCATCAACTGTTCATGACGAAAATATTTGGATGAGACAGGGTGATGCTAACGATTCGATTGAACACAGCTGTGACTCCGTTTTTTTTCCTCTACGAATTCGTGTATGAGTCATGAAACGATTTTGTGGCGCTCTTCCTTTTTTCCTTTTCGCCTTTTGTAATGTAAAAATGTAGTCCGAAATATCTTTTTTCGGTGCTATCTCTTCAAAAAAGTGTTTCCACCTTTTACTGTCAGTTTTACCCTGACAAGAATTCGTTTTATGGCTCTTCACATCATTTCTCAGTGATATTGAGATCTTCGCTTCTCTCCACTATCTTTTCCACCAACACCGGTATCAAGGTGTAATGTAACCCAGGACCCAATTTGGGCGGTGGGCAAAGCGTTACGGTAGAACGAATGGCCATTCCAACACAATTTCCCTAGAGTTGTCAGTGTTCTCTGGCCAGCCAGGCGTCCAGGCATCTGGAATCCCTCACCCAAGGCCAATGAGTCAGCAACACAACGTTTCACTAATTGTTCTACCTTTTTTAGGATTGAATTGTTTTTTATTGTTTTCTTTTGTTTTTTTCTGTATTTTATCTTGGCCTTGTTTTATGTTTCTACCTTTTTTTGGAGATGACTTATCGACATCTAGGTCCGTAGCGCAGTACTCCTTCAGGCCTGAGCGCGCGCGCCTAATTGCCAGGCCTAATAATCTCCAGGATTTCCCTCTTCTCTGAACTTTCTTCTCTCCGTCACCGAGTTTTTTTTTTGGTCGTTTCCGTCATCTTCATGGAAAGGCTTGAGAGCAACCATAAAAAATCTATTTTGGTGGCATGGAGATCTCTTTTTGGACTTAATCGGTTGTTTTTGATTTACTTTGTTATTCTGCTAAGGGCAAGAATTATCGTAACGTTCCTTTTCGAAGTAGCCANCTCCTTCAGGCCTGAGCGCGCGCGCCTAATTGCCAGGCCTAATAATCTCCAAAATCTCCCGGTTCGCTGAATCTCTTCTCTCCAACACCGAGACTTTTGGTCGTTTCACGTCATCTTCGTGGAAAGGCCTGAGAGTAGCCATGAAAAATCCATTTTTGGTGACATGGAGATTTCTTTTTGGACTTAATCGACTGTTTTTGATTTACTTTGTTATCCTGCTAAGGGCAAGAATTATCGTAACGTTCCTTTTCGAAGTAGCCAACTTGTTCCTGTATGCTAAAGTATTTTTGCTTGACTTTCCTTTTCATCTTTTCTCCCCTTTTTTATTTTCAGTCCATTTTTTCTCCGTCGTTCTTTGAACTTTTTAACAAGCACTTTCTCCCGATAATGGCTCTCTTCGCTTTCACATGGCGCCGCTCATGAACTTTGGATGATTGACGCGATGATGATAGTAGTTTTGCCTGTTGTTTCATGGTTCCATTTTCACTTTCTTTCTTGGTCGCAATGAGCTCTGACGTTCCTTGTCCTTCTAGCCGAAATGAAGCAACGAAATTCGGCAAAAATTCGGCAAAATTATTGTTGTTTTTTGCCAGTCATAGTCATTCTCCACAGCTTCATAAATGGATGAGAATCTTTGAAAATAATCAGATCGAGTAACAGCTGAAACCACTGTTTCACTAACCCCTATAGAAGAATGGCAATATAGAAACAATTTTCGAAGGGGAAAAGAGGGCCTCAAATCCCTAACGAGCTGAAAATGATCTTCATCTTCTAAGCCCATCAGTTCTGGGATGTCCCGAGATCCACCTACATTCTGCTGAAATCTAGATCTCATACTTTTATTTACTAGAATAAGGTCAATTTCATTTAGGTGATTCCGAAGTAAAGAAAAGTATAGGTAGTGTGGGAGGGTGTCAAGTGTCAAACCCGGAAATGATCCCCGATACGCGCCTACTGCCCTATCCCATTATGTTAGTGAGATTGTTTAGAGGTCGGCGAGCCACAAATGAATTGGTCAGAGCTAATCGTTTTGCCGGCATGGTTTATGAGGTAACGATTATGTGCATATAAATATTTATAGTCACCTTCCTCCATGACAAATTCACAGCCCTTCTACATTTGCCCATGTCCTCCTCTCTAGCACGTAACTTGAGATCCCTCGAGAGATTAACAATAAAGGCTACGATTACTGGGATGTCTAGAAATCTCCATTTGGACGAGTTGCCGGAAGGTGATTAACGTCTTGGAACTGTTGATTTTCTTACATTTAGTTTGGGTTCTTTTGGGGA